GTAGAAAGTTATGCCCAAAACAAGTTTGGCGAAAACTAGGGCCAAAAACCCTGAAACTGGAAAACGTCGACCAGGAGGAAATTCCAAGAGTACACAACTCGACGAAATGTGAAAATGAATCCCATACGAGGATCCAGGCTCAAAACAAGACATTTTTGTAATAACTTTCGTTAATTGCATAATGGTCCCTACAAAAAGGGTTAACTGCGAAACTACCCCAGAATGAAAATATATTCCAAAAGATATTTTCTTAGATGTGTCTGAAATAAAATATCTTCAAAAGATATTTACGAAAAACACCCCAAGAAATGAAAAAGATTCTAAAGAATTGTGCATCCATGCCCTTGTGGACACCGGGAGCAACCAGAGTACTTTCTTGCAAAAGTAAAGATACGTATTTCGAGGAAACCACTCAAGATGAAGGCACGTGAAGTCGAAAACCAACTCCGAGCATGAGAAGTGAGGTTGTGCCAAAAACTGACAAACGGAGATAAGACGAAATAGGGAAAATGACATAATAGGGAAAAGACGAAATAGCGCATAGTGTCCGAAAAATGAAAAATGGGAAAATGACTCGGTCCTCAAAGGAAGTTGTCAATCCACGGAAAAGAGTCTCAAGAACCAATTTCAAGCACTAGAGATGACACTAAGCGATATGAAACAGAGCTCAGAAAAGAAAATTAAATGAAAAAAATTCATTCGTAAAATTTTAGGAAAAAAGAAAAGAAAGCAAATGACCGGGTCGTTACATGTAAGATGCTTAAGTAATCACTTTTGACATTAAAAGCATGTATGTAAAGAGGCCAAGGGCCAAGCATGTCTACTTTTGTACTTAGACACTTTTGGTATCAACCTTTGCATCAAAAGTGTATTTAAACCAAAGTTTGAGGTTTGACGTGTGAAAATCTTGTAAATGATGTGTACAAGGCCATGGGCCATTGTTTTATATTTATTTATTCATATCAAAGTTGTTGACATATTCACATTCCCAAAACTTATGCAAAATCAGTTTTATATATTCATTGTGGACCAAAACATCATGGGATTCAAAGTTGAGGTTGAACCTTAACACCTTGGACTCATAGCAGCCATTTTAGCAGCTTTTCGTGGTGTTTCAGTCGACCGAAACTCCATTTCGGTCGACCGATGGCAAATGGAATTGCCAATGCACAGTATAATAACATTCCAGTAGCTAAATGCACTGTTCATGAGTCATTTCGGTCTACTGAAGCAACACGAACCTTTTCTTCATGATTTCAGGTCTCAGCACTTTCATTTTGGTCGTCCGAAAGTCCATTTCGGTCAACCGAAATAGCTTGATCCCGAGTCTAGTCTCTGTGGAGTTCCAACACTGATCATCCAACTTCAACGGGTCATAACTTCTTCATTTCTAATCCAAATAGGGTGATTCTTGAGCCTAAAATCAAGGATTTTGAGTCAGATTTCCAATGGTACCAATCCCATTCTCAAATTCCAAACACAGTGGGAGTTATGTATATTTTAGTGAAGCAGTGTCAGTTTTCACTTCAACAGGGACGCGGCATTTTGTGGAATTCTTAGCCAATGTTCATGGAACCTTTTGGAATGTTTCAAAATGATTAGATTAGGTTGTATTCACCTTGTTTGACTTGTTTTGAGTCAAGTTTCTCTCTTTTATTGTGAATTGACCTTTTTGACCCTTGGGTAGCAAATTTTGTCCTCTTTGACCCTTGTTTCCGTCTTTGTTCTCTTTGAGCTTTGTGAACTCATAGAGGGTCACACTTGTGTCCTAGAAGTGACTCCTATCTCTAGAGACCTTGGTTTACCTTTAGCTTCCGTATTTCGGATCCGTTATCAGATCACTTTCGGTTCATCACTGATGCACCGGGTTGAAAAACTTGAACCGTCACAGTGACCTTTCGATGAGGAATGAGTCTCCACAACGCATTGTTGCTTTTGTGGGGCATTCAAAAGCATTTTTTCTTTCTCTTTTGCATTTAAAGTGCTAGCTATTTGCCCTACTTGGGTTTCTTGCCTTGTAATAGATTGAGAGTGAAAATGAAGTAATTGTGTGTTTGCCTCTAGAGTGCCCAAAGCGGTCAAAACTTTCTCTTCAAAAGCGGGACTTCTAACATTTCCTTGGGAATATGATTGATTGGGAAAATGAGAATTTGAAAATTGGTTTCCTTGTGATTGGTATGATGATCTTAAACCTTGGGAACCTTGGCCTTGCATTGGAGGTGGAATGTACTTTCCTTGAAAACCACCTTTGGAAGGGTTTGAGCCCTCCCCTTGGCTTTTCCAAGAAAAGTTCGGGTGATTTCTCCAACTAGGATTATAATGATTTTCATAAGGATTGTTCCCTTGATTCATAAATGTTGCATTGACTTGTTCATGATGCTCACTTTGCATATGTCCATGGGGACAATTGGAAGTAGAATGTAAAACACTTGAACAAGTCATACATGTCTCATTAGATGCATGATGAGAATGGTTAGGGAAGGAAGATACTTGATTTGCCGAGTTTTGATTGATCAAGAATTGATCAAACATTTGATATAATGATTTCATCTCGGTGGCAATTTCATTGGAGTGGTCGACTTGATGTAAGCCAACACTCTTCCTACCACTAGAATTTCTACCATTCTTTGAAGATAAAGTTCGATGCAAAGAATTTTCACTCATACTCTCATAAAGATACCACACGTCATCCTCATGGCTATAAATGTAAGAGTCACCCATGGAAGCATTAACCATGCCCTTATAATTATCCGATAAGCTCTCAAAGAAATATTGAACTAATTGCCATTTGGGCATGTCATGATGTGAACACTTCCTAAATAATTCATTAAAGCGTTCCCATGCCTCATGAAATGTTTCCCCTTCCCTATATGAAAATTCCTAATTGAAGTTCTCATGGCATTGGTCTTAAAAACCGGATAATGCTTCTTCAAGAACTCTTGTTGCATTTTTGCCCAAGAAGTTATTGAAAAAGTCCTAAGATTGTTAAACCAATATTTTGCCTTGTCGTTGAGGGTGAATGGAAAAAGTTTAAGCCTTAAGACCTCTTCTGGCATGTCCGTGTATCTCACGGTAGAACATACTTCAAGAAACTCATCTAAATGCTTGTAGGGTTCTTCACTTGGAAGTCAATAATAGTTAGGAAGCATTTGAATGGTTTGTGGTTTGATCTCATAGTGGTGTGCTCTAAATGGTGACAATTGAATGCATGTGGGTGCATTGTATTCATTAGGCACATAGTGATCTCTTAAAGCAAGGGGAGGATTAGCAATTGGAGGTGCAACATGGGCACCTTGATTGCCTTGAATGATGGGAGTTGGTGGAGCATAGATTGGCCTTGGCATTCCCAATGGAACTTAGCTTTGTTGTTGTGGTGGACGAACGAATGGCCTCCGCATACCTAATGGAACTTGCATGTTATCATGATGCACATTAGGGTGGAAGATACCTTATTGGTCTATATGACCGAGGTCCTCCACATGGTCCTCATTGTGTCCTTCCATTGATGAAATGGATTGACTAGAACTTCCTCTTCCCCTAGGGTTCGAATAATGAATTCAAGATGAAAATTTAAAGGGACAAGAGTGGGTCTCAATGATCTACATCTAAGCATGTCCAATGCAACACAACAAGCAATAATGACAAACACTTCACCTTCACAATAAATCAACAATCAACAAACTTCCTCCCCATACAATGTTCCCATGCTTTAACAACAATATGCAAGAAAAGTAAATTGCCTCCACGCGGACTCACGATTTATCTAAGAATTGAATTACAAGCCTCCACGCGGGCCGACGATTTAACTAGAAATTGAGTAAAAAAAAGCTCACAAAGGTCCTTTAACACTTCAGCTCCAAATTTTTTTAGCTTTTAGCTTAGCAATTTTTTTTTAAATGATTTTAGCCTTTTTCTTTGCTTGCTTAGCTCCTTTACTTGGATGCTCCTTTACTCACCTTCTTAGCTCAATACTCCTAGTCAAACAAGAACAAACATAATGAGTAACAAAAATTGAAATGAAAATAAAGTAAAGACACGATCAAAGGAGTACTAATTCCTAATTGATTCCTCAAATACGACGTTTCCAATCAATTAATCCCCGGTAACGACGCCAAAAACTTGGTGGGTTGTCGCACACCAACCTAAAGTTTGCACTAAAAGATAGTGGTGTAGAACTATGAAGAATGTGGCTAAGTTTTATATTTAAAAATTGCCACTACTACCTTTCACTAAAAATGTAGCTAGGGCAAGTAGGGATCGTCCCAATGGATTAATAAGTTGTACTAGATTGAGGAATCAAGATTGGGGTTAGTAAGTCGAGTGATCAAAAGATTAGTTGGTGGTTGAATTACACTAAGATGCAATTTAAGCTAAAGTAGGCAATTAAATGTAAATGAAAGAAAATAAGAGAGAAATCTTGAGAATTAGAGATCACCACTAAGCATATCTTTTCTACACCCTTAATGATGATTAATGAAGGGGAAAACATGTATTGCAACAAAGTGTGTGTGCGTGGTTGTTTCAACAAGTATAGATGACAAATTAAGCATATATTGTTTAAGCAACATGGTGAATAGCACAACATATCAAATTAAGACATTAATCATTTCTTTAAGCTCATAACCAAACACATTATAAGGTTAGAGATATATGTTACTTACTTTCATAAGCATGGAACATCAAACAAGCATAGATTGTCCTCCCATTTAACATCTAAACTACAACTACACTACAATTAAGCTAATGACATGAAATTAAACTAATTAAACTAAGGGAGAGGTACAATCCATCAAGAAATGAATATGAACCATCAAATAAACCATAAGAACATTCCATTAAGCACTATGTCTTGACAATCTCTACATCTATAGCATTAATACACATAGACATGCATCAACAACACAAAAAATAGAGACAAACACATGAACATCTATTATAGCATACATAGACATATGAATAGAATGAAATGATCAATTGGAAGCATTAAACCATACAAATCATTGAATAAACAAAATCTATATATATAAAAATGTCAAAACATGTATCACAAAACAAATTCCCTTAAAAATACAAAAATCAAGATATAGAAAGCATGCTTAGGGCTAACTCTAACCCCAAGAGAATGTCTAACCACTCATGAATAATGTCTTCCAACCCTCAGGGACAAGCTCCAGGAAGAAATCTGCTCCTTGGTTAATGAAGAGCCTCCAATGGTGTCTCTATCCTCCTCTTCTCCTTTGCTTCCTCACTAAGAATTATCTCCAAATCTCCTCTCTAAGTATCAAAAAGTATATCTCAAAAAATGGCTCATATTCCTTATATAGGTAGGTCAAACATCACCCCAAATGAGCTGGGCACGTACACCAAATATTCCTCCAATGATTGGATATGAGACAACTTTTAATGAGCTGGAATTTGGATTTTCTCGGGATTTGGGAAGTTCGATCGATCGAACTTGTGATGAGATCTATCGAATTGAAGCTGGATCAATCCTCTATGGCGGTGCCTTTTTGGATAAAAACAAATCTGAGATATTTTGAAGATATTTTTGGGAAAAGGACAAAAGTAGTTGGTAGAGTGGTACAGCTGGATAAGATCAATCATTTGGATAAGGACAAGATGGTTAGATCGATCAGAGAATGAAGATAGATCGATCGAACTTTGAAATCTTTGAGTAAGGACAAACATGGCTCAGATCCATCCACAAGTGCTGAGATAGATGAAAGTTGGATCGATCGAACTTTTCTTGAGATCGATTGAAGTTGCTGAAATTTCACCTTTTGCTCTACTTTGCTCCTTTCTTTGATTCATCCCAGAATTGCTTCATTTCTGCTCTTATTTGGCTGAGTTAACTTATTTTAGGGATAAGTACCTGAAAATGGAAATAATACGAAATCAATATAAAGCAGGAAAATAAGATAGATAAAGGTTCTAGAATACCTAAGCTTAAGGGGTTTAAATGCGCACTTTTCAACGCTCATTAGGCCACATGCCACACATGTCTCTCCAGGTACATGATCGATTATATATATAGCTATTTGATATTTCAATTTATTAATGTTTCGTGCATCTGTGTTTTCTATATTACAGTTGAATATGATTTTCTTTAAATTGGAATCAGGGTTACGTGCCTAGAAACCCTGTAACAGATTTACACAAGGATACAAATTCAAGAGTCACATATGCTCACCACGTTGGACTTATATCAGATGAATATTATGAGGTGATTTGTAGTTGTTTGGCTAGTTGAATAACTGTGCTCAACTTGCAAATTTTTCTAGACAATTACTTCAGATTCTTTTAATGTAACAGCTTATACAATTTCTCAACACTATAACCTAGAATTTGCTGATAGATTATAATTAGAGGTATTAAGATAGGAATGTTTTGTTCTCCTTCAGTCATTCAAAAGCTACTGCTACGGCGAATATGTCTATCCAGATCCAAACAATATATGCATCATGCATTCATTATCTTCAACTTATCAAAGAGGTAAGAAAGACAGTTAGTTTTAATAAGAAAGCCATGATTTATTGGGCATTGAAGATGTGTGTTTTTAAAATCAGTGTATAGGAAAAGTGAACCACACACATATTTTGTAACCCAACGCACTTTAGCAGCTCAAAAACTAGATGAAGCGGGACAGACTCAAAAAATTTTCAAGGACATTTCCATGGACATCCTCCTACGATCTCAAAAAGAAGAATTGTGGTGTCGGCTAATTAATCCCCTTTGACTCAAATAAATATAAATGTACACTTACATAGCAGACATCATGTACAGAAACAGTGACCATTTTACTTGTTTACAGCAAAACGATTATGTTCTCTCTTATGTCTGGGCAAATGATCCAAGCGTCCAAGAAGCTCTTTACATTCGAAACGTATGTCAATAACTGAGTAATTATATCTAGATCAACAATATTCTTTTGATTAGTGTATTCAAAATATTTTACTAGGTATTTTGATCCAAGGTACTTTAACTAGTCTGACCTAAGCATATATTATTTTACTGACTTTTTGTTGTGACGATTAGGGAACAAAAATCATATGAAAATCTAACACAACAAAGCCAAATTGGAAGTGCGAACAACCAAATCAAATAAACCTTCAAACCAACACAACCAAATCCAACAGGAAAATATATTATCAACCCTCAACCAAAGCAAAGAAAATTAGTAGAGCCGAGCAGCCTGAATTCAAACTACTAATTCTAGCAGCCTATTAAATTATAAACTATCCAAATTGAAGAGCCCAACAGCCTGAAATCAAACTCTAATACATCTAACTTTCACACACAAAATCAGCAATCTCAATCCAAGAAAAAAAAATACATACCTCAAGCATCATTTAAGCAAAAACTTATAAATGCAAGCTTATCCCACATTCGGCGCTACATGTAAACCAAATAGTGTTTTTCAGATTCATATATCATTAAAAACTTTTTAAAATGTGCTCAAAAAAGTATTTAGACTTACAAATTTTGATGAACCTGCTAGGCCATGCAATTGGACCCGTCACATGTTCAAGAGTATTGTAAGATTGAAGAATTCGGCACATCAGCACGTTGGGTTCAATGACTCCAGTGATATATACTTTCCAGCATTCAAAACCAAGAGGAACATCATCTATAAGATCATCAAGATCTGTCGAATCAACTTCACCCTTAGCGACAATTACTCCTGACCCATTATAATGCAATAACTCACACTTCTTATAGACAACATCTTCAGCAGGTGGGACTTGAGGTGGAGCATTAGGACAGGACTGGTTGTTAGCAATTTGTGACTACCATAATATTGAATTGTTGATGAAAAAAAAGAAGAAACAAATTAATTAATAATGCTTAAAAAAAAGACTTATTGACTAAGAGTAGTGCATATACATACACATACATGCTATTGATTATGGAGTTCACTTACCATCAGTGCTTCTATTTGCTGTTGCATTTTCTGTTGTATTTGGTGTTGTTGCTGCAATTGTTGTTCCAAGGCTCCAATCGTCCGATCATATTTTCGAGAAACATCATTCCGGACATTTATTTTTGTTTTTGTTATCCCAAACCCTAATGCTCTCACTCTTCCTCGATGTTTAGGACCCAATACATGTGAGATTGCATCATAATGAATTCCTGTACTCTGAGTGGTGTTGGTATATTCTTCCATTTGTTCCTGAAACAATAATATATGTAGAACACACTTTTTAGTTTAATAAGTATATAAATGACCAACTACTTAAGCTAAAAGTAAACATTTCTTACCGCTGCCTCCTTGGCTGCTTCATTTATATAACTTTTATCCTTTCTTTTATACGCTTTAATCCATACGTCTACTCTTGTAATGGAATCGGGCACGTTTGACTTTTCTTTCTACATAAGAGTATAAAAAAATAAAAAAACCCTTAAACATAAACATTAAAACATATTACCAAGGTTGATTCTCATAAAATAAAATAAAATGTAGCGAAAGGAGGTTGGAGGTTACAGGTGGAGAGGGAGGGGCTTTTGCATCAGGTTTTCAAAGGAAAGTATTTTCCTCATTGTTCGTTAATCCCTAAAGCTGAAAAAGGAAGCAACCCCTCTTGTGCATGGCAAAGTTTTCTTACAGCTTGAAAGGTGCTTGAAGATGGTTAGGTATGCATAATAACTAATGGGAAAGAAGTTAAATGTTAGGAGGACAAGTGGTTTATTGATAAAGTTAATCCTAGGCTGAAAATAATAAAAACTGAATTTTTTGAGGTTTTTGCAGATCCCTATTAGTTTCTCTCAAGGTGAAAATCAACAAGTATGGCTATAGGCTAACAATGGAAGATTTTCTATGAAGTTTGCATACAAAGTGGCTTAGAAACTTCAAAAGGCTTCTCAAAGATTTAAGGATATAGAGAGAGAGAAGAATGCAATAGCCAAGAAAAAACAGACGTGGTAAGGTATTTGGAATTCGAAAGTGCAACAAAAAATTAAGCATATTTGGAGATGTCTTCATGATGATGACAAGATTGTTGTCCTAGAGAAGCTGGAAAACATAAGGACAATTGATTATATTATTTGAAAACTATGTGGGTTGGAGGAAGAGTCGATTATTAACATGTTTTGCAAGTGCCTGAGATCTTATATTATATGAAAATTATCAACTAGTATTACAGTAGTAGAAAAATAAGCCAACTGTAAGCAATTATTTTTCTGCTGTAAGCCTGTTTCAAAACCACTGCTGCATGCTAAAACCCCACACAAATTAAGCAATGACATTAAAAAAAATAGAAAATTCTATTTCATTACCATCTCCTTAGTCAACCCAGCGTATCCCAATCGGCTCATAGTGTGGGGGGTTTTGTTTTTAGCTTTTAATTCTTGTTTTTTCAGTCTTTCCACCTACAAATACGAAAGTTTAGATAATTTATATACGTCATGCAGAAAAATGAAAGGGTAAAAAAGGCATATAATTCAAAATATATACTCACAGCATGCTCTTTTGATAAACGCTGCCTAGCAAAACTTAGCCACTCCTCCATTGTGGGCACATTGGGAGGCTTCATGAGTTGTAAATTGCGTGTTTTTTCCCACCTTTAGCACATCACTTATTATAATTGATTTATGGATGCGCCATGCAGCTCCCATCTTTTGAAATGAGTATCGGGATGCACTATCGTCAACATTAAACTGCAGCTATAGTCAAATTCCAAAGGTAATGGAAACAAGTCATTATTAGTACTCCTTTATTATATTCGCAACTACCATGGCAACAGAAGAAAGAATGGACTGCAAAATAGCATATGATGTCTATTATATGAAATCATAAATGCATATATAAATAATGCCAATCACAAGCTACTATTGATGACAAGTTCATATTGGATACCCCTATAACTAATGACGAAATCAAGAAACTCTATCATTTCTCAACAGATTCAAAAGGACTTTATTTAGGGTAGCAGAGTCACATTGAAGAAAATGCATCTCTTAAGTTGGGATGTTATGTGCAGACCTAAAGCTGAGGGAGGTTTGGGAATCCGAAAATTGATAGATGTGCAACAAGCAGCTTAATGTACATTGGCTTGGGATTTTCTTCTTAGCAAAGATAGGATTTGGGTTCCATGTTTCAAAAACAAATATTCTTCTCAATCTACTTACTGGAATACAGTCCCCGAGATCTCACATTCTATCCTATGGAAAAATTTGATAAATGTAAGGGATCTCATGCATCTTAATATTAAATGTTCAATTGGAACTGGGCAAATCTTCAAGTTACTGTCAGATCCATGGTGCGCCTGTAAATATATTTAGTTTTTGTCCAATATACTCCCATTTTATTCAAATAAACAATTAAAAAAATACCTGAATGGCCTCCCATAATTTATCTCCGAATTGCTCTAGTACTGTGTTCCATCTTCGTATAGTTACCGGCACTAGCTCCCGCACTATTATCGGAAGGGCTGAATTATATTTCTTACCAATTTTCCCAATTGGATGATCGTTTTCATCAAATTCCACACGGGGCTTCTTTTCTTGCGATGAAGCAATACCACACAATGTAGACTTCCTTCAATATGCTCTGTAGCAGCATTGTCTTCACCACCAAAATATGCATCCCTGAACATCTCATACGTTTCAGGTATTTCCATATGGTCTTGATCGCCTTCATTTACTACTGGTGTACTCCTCTTCTCTCCATGAAAGACCCATACAGTGTAATTGGAATCCATTCCCTTTTTCACTATATGCTCGTACACCTTATAGTAATGTTGATATTGTGAATTTAAACAAAGTTTATAGGGGCATAAAATGGTATCTCGATTCCTTGCATTACCTCGAGCCCAAGCGATAAATCTTTGTGCTCCATTTGTATACTCTTCTGAAGCTCTACAATTGAAAACTTAAAACATTTAATTATTACAAAAATAACAGGTATAGTATTTTAGCTTTTATTGATAAAGCTATTTGTTATTCTAATAACCTGTCATCAAGGTGCATCCAGCCTTTATCCGCCATAGCTCTTTATTGACTTATTCAATAATTTTAATAAAAGTTATTGATAACCTAAACCAAGTTCGTCATGAGTCAAAAAAGATCAATTTTGTGATTATATATCTAGACAATGGCCACTTTACTAATTGAATTTTTGTTAGTAATTAAAAATAAAAAACAATTGAAAAAGTTAGCATTAAATTTAAGTCTAAAGTTATTCAAACTACGAGTAAGACCTTTCAGCCACCCAAAAATGAGACATTCGATATGCAGTTATTTTAGATGGCCTAAAACTACAAATAAGAGGAAAGAGAAAAGAAAATAAAGATTGTTTCAGAAAACCTAACAGGCATTACACAAAGGAAAATTAATGACAATGTATCATAGGGAAGAGGGTCACACATTTCAGATTGATCTGACCCTACATGCAACCTAGCTTCTTAATTTGAAGCTAGTACACCCTTAATATTAAGAAATAAATAAATAAAACCTACATGCAGCATAATTAACTTAAATGTTCAAGAACTTATAATTAAATCTAAAAAGGCAAGTGCACGTGCAGAATCATGAAGCACAATGAATAGTCATTCCAGGTATCTTGAGTCTTGTCATGTAGCCACTTTTGTATGTCAAACTACCACCGAAATTAATAATAATAATATATCAGAACATATGATTCAATAAATGGTCAACACTTCTATGTGCTTGTTTCCCCAATCTGTCTTGCTCTTCTTCCCCCTCTTTCTCTTTCCCTGCTGCTTGTATAGACATCTCACAACACGGAATAAGACCAGGTTAAAGCCCTGCGTATGTGGCGAACTAGGATATAAATTTACCTAGCCATAACACTTGTGTTACATCCTCTCTCTAAACAATGCAGTCAAGGTGCTGGACTCAAACACCATTATCTATGTATTATAATTATATGTGCTTGATCTACAATACTTAAGTACATTTCCTAACAGTTTAAGCTTTTAGATCAATTAGTTTTTGACATGGACTACATAGTTTTGAGAGAATATTATACCATTATTACTACTCAATAAGGGAGGAAGAGAAGTGTTAATAGTGTTCACATGGCATCTAAAAGAGAGAAGTAGGGTCAAAGGTTTAATTCTTTACTATTATCCATGAAAAGAAGAACAAAAAACTCCTTTCAACTAATAGATGACAAAAAACATCACTAGTAATCCACTAACCCTACAATTCTTAACACGGTTTCCTACTCTATTTTATTTCTCAAAAGCTGTTTATTCATAAAGGAAAACCGTTGGAAACCATGTGTCTCACAGTAGGGGGTCTGCCTTATTGCCATCCGCATTAATATTACATTAATGAATGCAATTGAAGATCAAATGATCAAAACTATAAGCAATTATAGATCATCCCTTCCAAGATTAAAATTGCGTAATGTGCAGCACGACTGCATCACAGCACAATAAATGCATCGTATGTCATTCAAAATAAAAAATAGTTGATATTTTTGGGAAATTTGAATGATTTACTGGTCTTCAAGTTAGCCCTAGCAAGTGTAGTGTGTTATTTTCTAGGGCAGTTAGAAGGAAGGCTGCTTTGCTTGAGGTTCTTCACTACAAGGAAGAGGTTTTTCCAATGAAATATTTAGGCCTTCCTCTCTGTCCAAATGGCTTAAAGAGATCTGTCTGCAAGTATCTAATTGATAAGATTTGTAGTAAAATTCAGTGTTGGAATGCAAAGCTTTTATCTGTTGCAGGTAAAATGGAGCTTATTAAGGCTGTAGTTACCCTTATTTTTCAATATTGGTGTTCTATATTTGATGTTCCAGTGGCTCTCATAAATTAAATTCAGAGATTATGCAGAGATTTTATATGGGGCAGCAAGGAGCATGCAAAGAAACTTCACTTAATGAAATGGGATATGATCACTAGGCCTAAAGAAGAAAGAGGTCTGGGCATCAGAAAGTTAAATTGGAACTTGTGTTTTAAGCTTTTTTGGTAAAGCTTGCATTTAGTTAGCATTTTACAGGAAACTTGCAAAAACATCCATTTAATAACTATTGAGACAGGTAATCACCATTTATTAACTATTGAAACAGGCAAGTTTACAAGAAAATCTAAGAATTAACAAAAATTTCTATTGCTATTCTGATAAAAAATAATAAATAAAAAAAAAACCCTTTTTTTTCCTTTTGGCAATTGATAATAAATCCTTATACCAAGAGGCAATAGTATCATTTCTCATTATGAGTATCAAATCAACTAAATACGTACAAACACATGAATTAAAATCATCTCACTAGAAAGTAATGACAATGGACAGTTGCTTGATTGAAATTATCCCCACATGGTGACATTTACATAGAGAGACTTTACAAATTTCTAAGGGAACGAATCTGTGATCAAAGTAGAAGTTAAAAAATAGTACCAATGTTAGAGATCGACGGTTAGACTAATCCACCATGCTGTGAAAGACCACCCATTGGCCTCCTCTGATCACTTACGCCGTAAAGATTCTCAATTCTGGTCAGCCTCATGTGTCTTTTGTTGCTGAAAAAAAGAAGAAAATATATGAGAGTTCAGAGAAGTAAGAGATCGAGGAGAAAACAGAAACGAGAGTTACCAAATACTATATATATACGCACCTGGGCAATTTTCCTCTGAAGGTGAAACTCGCCAAAGACGAATTAGCTCCCGAAAAATTCGTGCTTGGACTTAGAGTGGGTTAGGGTTTCATAAGGATTCAAGAGATCGAAATGGGTGTTTTCATCAGCCGGTTTCTCCTCCCTGTGGTTTTTTTCTGTGTCTTTTGCTGCTGAAAAAAAGAAAAATATATATGAGTTTAGAAAAGGAAGAGATCGAGGAGATCGAAGAACAGAAACGAGAGTTACCAAATATATATATATATATATATATATATACACACACGTGGGCAATTTTCCTCTGACGGTGAAACTCGCCAAACACAAATTAACTCCCGAAAAATTCGTGCTTGGACTTAGAGAGGGCTAGGGTTTCAAATGGATTCACGAGAGAGACAGGTGTTTTGGTTCATTGATATATGTGTACGAAGTTTAGGAGGGGAGAGGAATATTTTCGCGCGCAGCTTGATGAAAACATTGCTGGAAAATTAAACTTTTCACAAAAATACACTTAACCCTATTCTACAATGGGCCATGTGGGCCTGTTGTAGAAAGTCCATTCTACAATGGGCCAAGCGAGCCTGTTGTAGAAGAATACCTTTCTACAATACGTCATGCAGACCTGTTGTAAAAAGCTCTTTCTACAACAGATTTGTGGGCCGATTGTAGAAAATGTGTTGTAAAAGACCCATTTTCTTGTAATGTATGTTTAAATCATGATTTTTGCCTTGTAGTAGATTCATAAGTTTATGTTTTCAATGTTGAAATATATTGTTATAGCGTGTAACGAATCGCACACTGAAGATTCTACATTTGTCATGCCATAGTAATTGTGGACTTAGTGCATGTATTGTATGTGTTTCCAAATTTGGTTGTGCTTGGTAGATAGTTAATTATCTTGTATATTCCTGTTGATATATACGTTGTTGCACAACTTGTAGATTTTGAAAAGTTGGGGATGTCGTTGTTTGACTACGGCTAGGATATGGTTCTAGTATGGGGGGTTGTCCCTCTACAGTCTAGTGCGCACATAGGGAGGTTACCCATGGGCTAGTAACCCTAAAGTAACTATGATATCGATCTAATCCAGCGTGATGTCCAATTATCCACTTTGTTTGATTTTGCATTTCATTTCAAGTTGATAACTAGATGATATCGTAACTTTTTGTTCTTTAATTGATTTCCCATTTTGAGTTTCAATATGTTAACTTAGAGAAATCATGTTTTATGCATTGTATTGGAAGTTTCAATATTGGTTAAACTGCATCGATATTGTAATTTGTGTTTTGATGTTCAAATGTAGCTTAGGAACGATCTTATAAATTCATTTAGAACATAAACGTTAGGTGGCATGATCCACTTTAGTTGTTTTCGTATTTTAGATTTCAAGTTGAGAACTTTGAGAATCTATATCTTGTTGCTTTGTATAACATGCTTCCATGTTGTTAAATTGCATGAATGATGTGATTTATGCTAGAAATGATCTAAGATAGTTTAGGATGCACCCCGAGTCTCATCTTGACATAGACGTTAGGTGGCATGAGCCCCTTTGACTTATTTCACCTTAAAGTGATAATTTTGTAAAATGTTAGGTCAATGCATGCTCATTTCCTACGAGTAGCTCTATATTACTCACCCTGAAGTTACTGGGGATTTATTTCAGGTATGAAGACTTGGTTCGTGATGCTCATCATACTTTGAATGACTTGTAGTTTTTAAGTTTCCATTTCATGCAAATGTTAGTATAAAATGTCATTTTGTAGCATTATATGTCTAAACTTGTATTTTTGATTCCATATATATAATGTATACATAAGTACACCTTTTACGATGTATTTGACTTGTGTGAGATGAGGCCGGAGGCTAATGACGTTTATATTGCATCTTATGTAATTCTTAATTTTATGAAATGTTATGAAAATATTGAAAAATGACAAGTCATTGTTTCACCATGTTTGCATCGGGTATGAGATTTCCATTTTTATTCTTTTATATGGTCTCATTAATCATGTTTGAAGTGTGGCCAAGGGTCAAATGGTAATTTGAAATCATTTGTTAATTTTGATTTTTAAATTTTCCATTTCTTGTTCATTTTTATCATTTTTGGTCGTCGAAGGGTCGGATTTTGAGTCGGGGCTTCTCGGGAGCCGTGGATCATTCCCGCGCGCTTAGAATCATTTATTATACTTGCGTGCATATTCCTTTCAATCTAGAAATACATTTTGGGTCAAATGCACACTTGGTGCAAAGTTGCATTTTGAGTTTTTAAGCCTTTACTGATCTAGGGGCATTTTGGTCATTTCATATTATATTTTTTTCATTTTCTTCTACGTAGCAGGGTAGAAAATTTAATTTTGGGAGGGGTTTCTTCTTAGTATTTTTTCAGAAAAATTCGTTTGATAGCCCGTGTTTTATCTCAGATGTGGACAGTCACTGTACCATCTTTTTGGGCCCTCTTGACCTCTTTTGATCTAGAGGAATTTTGGGTATTTGACATTGTGTTTTTTTCATTTTTATTTTTGTAGCCAAGTAGAAAACTTGATTTTGGGAGGGGTTTCTTCTTCGTGTTTTTCCAGAAAAATTCGTTTGATAACCCGTTTCTGCTCTCAGATGTGCACAGTTACTGTAACAGTTCTTTTTGGCCCTCTGGACCTCTTCTGATCTAAGGGCATTTTAGGTATTTCACAGTGAGTTTTTTTCTTTTTCTTTCACACAGTCAAGTAGAAAACTCGATTTTAGGGGGAGTTTCTTCTTTGTGCTTTTCTAGAAAAAGTCGTTTCGGACCTTATTTTGGCTCTCAGTTCTGGCTGAGCCTTTTTTCTTCTCCTAGCATGTTAGGATGCTCGTGGGGATCCTTGTGGGGTGCTCATAGGGTGTTCGTCTTGACGTCGTGACATCGATTCTTGTTTTTGCTCGTTTTTCTTCATTCGGATTCTAAATCGAGTGAACCTTTTTTTGAACTTGACTAATTTTTCGCTGTCTTTCCAACGGTGTGCTCGGTTGCACCCGGATCTTTTTGAAAAATTACCAGTTTACCCTTTTAGCCTCAAGTGCTCATTTTTTTTCGTCATGCCATTTGTCCTTCGTCCGAACTCCGAATCATGTGATTCTTGAGTCCATCTTGATTAGTTTTTCGTTCTCTTTCTAGCAGTGTGCTCGGTGGCACCCGAATTCATATTTTTAGAAAATTATCATTTTACCCCTAGGGGCTTATTTGTCATATTTTCGATCTTTTACTTCCGCATCAATTCTCATTGAGTTCCACGACCTCATGGAAGGTCACTTTGACTTCTTAGAGTCTTGTTTTCTGTTTTTGCTTCCGTATTCGGATCCGTTATCGGTCAGTCTTCGGTTCATCATAGGACGCATTGACTTGAAAAACTAGGGCTGTCAGATACACTTAAACTCATCAATCTGAACATACCTTCTCAGCCCTGGTCTCATCTGGTTTGGTCCAAGCTCTCAATCCCAAAGCATTCATTCACACTTTGGGTTGCAATCCAGAATCATCTGCCAACCCTCAATAGAAGATGTGCAGCTTACCTCACCACCATTTGCCTCCTATACAACAATGACATGGAATTACACAACCATCTTTTCTTCAGCTGTCCCTATGTTAAACCCTTATAGAACTTTCTGCAAGCACGCTGTGGGTTCTACATACTGCCCTCAAATTGGTCTGAATTGAACCATTGGGCTGCTCATCACTGGCGAGGCAATAATCAAGCTGGTGTAATTCTATATCCAAATTAGCTCTCTCTTCTTTGGTTTATAATGTGTGGAATGAAAGAAACAGGAGGCTATTCAAGAAGAAGAGGTTATTAGCTAACTCCCTACTTTATATGACATTAGAACCTGTTCGATTGAAGCTCAAGTCTTCAATATTCACTGAATCAATCCACCAGATGGCTTATTGTGGAGTGGGATCTTCCATCCTATGTTCTAAGACCACCACCGGAGCCTCCAGATTGAGATCTTTGACACGGAGAAGTTTCTCCATTGCTATCATCTATGTATGAATGTGTTTGATTACAATGGTTACTTTGTTAGCCTTCGGGCTGGGTTGGTTCTAGTAGTTTTTTGCTGTTGGGCCTTGTGGCTTATTCTCTTGGGCCTTGTATTTTGCTTTGGGTTAGCGTGTGCTAACTTGTTAATTATGTATCTTTTCTACAATTAATATATTCTCACCTTACTTTTCAAAAAAATAAAAAAAATAAAAATAATAATAAAAAACAACCAGATTTTGCTAAGTCAAAATCTGTACGGTAAAACTGATAAAAGGTATCAAAATGCCACATTTGCTAAACCTACCATTAGATTATTTTGTGTGTGTGTGTGAGAGAGAGAGAGAGAGAGAGAGAGTTCCATCTCGCGTGCAAGTATGCAATAAGTGATATATGTATATGTATATGTGTGTATATATATTTTTAAGTTGGAACCATATATAAATCTTACTGTTAAACGGGCTGAAAAGAACCCTATGGATTTGTTTTAAAGTTGAAACATTCAACTATTCCATTCAAACGTTGGTAAAATGTCTTCTCACCGGAAATAGTTAATTAGTTCAGCCTTAAAATCTAATAGAAAGTGTTCTATAAGAAATTAGTTTTCTATTCAACAAATGACTTGTGCAATTGAACTGTGTACCATTGGCATGAAAATCAAACAAATTGAATCCATGCATTGAGAAGTTAATTTTCTGGTAATATATATATCTTCTTCTAAGATTGTCTCTTTCAACTAATTATTGCTGAACAAAAGAAGTTATATTTTTTCAGTATATATATGAGAACATATCGTTCATTAAATCCTGCATTAAGTAGTCTTCAATCAATTTGATCCAAATATTAAGCTCCGGATATATATATATATATATATATATATATATATATATATATATATATATAGTTTCATATAAAAGCCATTTCGATCTACAACCCCAATGAATGACTTGGTTGTGACATAAACATGAAATTGAAATTTTCCATCCGAAAGTTTGATATTAACTGAAATTTTGGGAGGAAACATATATATTGACAAGATGTGCACAACACTCAAGATTGAAGGAGACATGCATGGGAAACAAATTAAGTGAAAATTTTGAATCTTGTGACCATTCTACAGTGTTGGAATGACTGTAATATACCGAATTCTCTCTTCAATGACCTATGAACAATTGCATGATGATAAGGGCTTGTTTGAATTTGAAAGCTTCAAATAAGAATAACTTTAAATTAATAGAACAACTGTGCGTGAGCTGTCATAGACTCCGTGTATCCTTGAAGAGCACACACACACACACGCACATGTGTGTGTGTATATATGTATATACATGTTTTAGCTATCTATAACAACAGTAAAACATTTCCAGATGGAACAAGAACTTGATCATATAGCCATAAGAACAATAATTGGAATACATTCACCATCTTAGCCTCTATAAAGATCAATAATCATGAATTCTTGAAATTGTCAAGTGTATATATATATATATATATATTTGAAACATTCACATGAGAAAGCAATTAAGAAAGTGCATGCATATTAATTAACATTCATTTATAGAATATAGATTAGTGATTCAAATAACATCTAAACTGTGGGTTTAAATTTGAAATTTGCATGCCATGAACATGCATGCAAATATGCTAATGTGAAGCTAACATCATCAATATATAATATATATAAAAAAGAGTTAAATAAAATAAAGTTTTGGTGATCAAGAAGAGATTCCAACGCCAAGAAAATCTATGAAGGGTACATCCTTCTGTTTGGTTGATTCATCTCCTTGCTCTTGCTTGAATATAGCCGGTCTTATCTTTGCAAATGCATGCGAGTTATCACCAAAACTAACCAACTCTTTCCTAATCATTCCATGGCTTCCATTACCATCACCAGGTTTAGAATATCCAAAGGGACTTGGAATAACCCTCTTGTAGTTTGGAAGCCCAAATGCAGTGGAATCGCGAGAACCTACAAATACTGAAGAATTTGAATAATTTAGGGGAAGAGATTGCTCTGAATTACAATTTGAGGCTTCTGTAGTGCAATAATAGGAACTAGAGCTGAAGTAATCTGCATGTTCTCTTCCAAACAAATCCACTTTAGATAAGTTGTTCTTGGCCAAAGCCTTTGGTCGGATAAAAGTCCAAGAAGGGGATGAACTGAAGGGTGATACTGTGAAATTCTTATCTTTGTTTAGGTTTTGGAATTCAACAAGCCTACTATCATCGAATCGAATATTTCTGGTGGTATAGTCCTCTTGGGTTTTTGAATTCCTTTGTTTAAAACCATAATTCAAAGAGTTGGTGTCACTAAGAACATGATCTTGGTAGCTTCTCTTACTGCAGAGCTTGGACTTCTCTCTTTGCTTTCTTGCCATAATAACATGCCAATGATTCTTCACCGCGTTGTCGGTCCGACCAGGAAAGAGTCTGGATATTAATGCCCACTTGTTCCCATGTATGCGATGAGCTGCAAGAAGCCTTTGTTCTTCTTCTTCTGTAAATGGCCTTCTATTAATTCTAGGGTCAAGTTGATTGAACCACCTCAATCTGCAACTTTTTCCTATATAAAAATTTAAAAAAAAAAATAAAAAAAAATTAGGGTTATCTATTTTCTGAACATACAATTAGAGATATAGGTCTAGAGAGAGACTCTACATCCTTTTTTATTTATTTATTTTTTTTTTGCGAATTTTTGAAGGGTACACATCCCATTATTGCAATTATAACCAATAGGGTTATCTATTTTGTTAGAGAGATTTTCCATATATTCAATCTAGAAACGATATAAAAATATGTGTGATTGAAAAGATGATCCAACTTTAGTCCAAAGTGAATAATACTTGTCAATCCTGAACTTTGAATATCAGATCTAGTGATCAAGATTCAATCTCACACACACACAAACACATAGAGAGATTTTAACAACATACCTGATCTTCCTTGGAGCTTTTCAGCAATTGAGTTCCAGTTCTGGGGACCATATTGTTCAACCAGCTGCCGGAGTTTTTCGTCCTCGGCAGGTCTCCAGTGACCTCGAGGACAAGTACTCCTGGCGTCGTCGCTAGAGCCGCCTCCGTTGTCATCCATAGCCGCCAAAGGTGACCGATGAAACTGGGAATTGATCATCTTTAGCATCTAACACCGAAAGCACAGAGAAAGTCCAGTGTAAGATTAATTTAGAGCATAAGAAATGTGTGCACAAACAGAAATATAAGAAAGTGGGTTGGTTCAGTGTTGTGGATGGGCAGTCACTTTTGTTGGTTTTACACGACACATTTTTGAGGCTATATGTACCTGTAGAAACACTGACCCTTTCTTGTTTAACTGTTGGCTCATGAACTTATCTATCAATTCCCACCTATTTCTATTTTCTCATTGTTTTTTTTTTTAGTTAAAACTATTTTCTCATTGTTCTTTCTCCCTTCTCTCTTTTTCTATGTATATATATATATATATATATATATATATATATATTATATAGAGTATTGATCTCTTTCTTGCTTATCATGAGCAAGAGACTCTCTCCACACCGAGCACAGTTGGATATAGTTTAATTAAAAAAACAGAATGTAACAATATTCAACGAAAGAAAGTTTCTTACTCAGCGGTGACTAAGAGACCATTTTTTATTATGTGCATTATCAAATTAAATTTAACTAAGAAAATCTAGGACCTACTTGGTTTAGTTTTTTTAAACAAATTTTTGTCCGTAAAAAATTTGTTTGGTTGTAAAGACTATTTAAGAAAAATTCTATTAGAGAGGGGGTGGTGATTTTAGGTATCTTTTAAAAACAAAATGCTTGGTTTGTAATACTCAAAACAATTCTCAGAACCTTTGAAAACAGAGAATAATTTTTAGAGAACTATAAAAGACTATTATCTGAAAACAAATCATTTTATAACTGAATTTAAGAAATAGTTTTCAGAAAACTGAATCAAGCAGAATTTTTTGTTTTCAATTTTTCGAGAATAGGAAACCGTTTCCATAGTTACAAACCAAGCAAGCTTGAATTATTTTTAAAAAACTTAACCAAGAGAACTCTAAATTTCACTGAGCAATGATTATATATATATATATATATATATATATATATATATATATCACATATATTGCACTAAATAGCTGCCTAGATTTTTATCATTTAACAACCCTTTATATATAACAAAAGACAATCTTGTGGGCTAAATTAATTAATCAAATGTTTCATTTCCTATGCAGAGAAGAGGTTGGTCTTCCATTGTTTGCCAAAAGTACTATCATCAAAAAACTACTATAATTAAGACCAATAGTACATAATTCATTATGTAACAACCTTATGATGAAAGATGCCCCTAAATTTATTGTGGAGGCACCATTTCCGTTTATATCAAATCAAAAATTAATGCATGCCTCTTCCAAAAGGAAGAACGGTTCATCATATTATTACAATATATAAATATATATATATGTATATATATATATGCAGTTAGTTAGATGCTATCATCCTTCTTATAGAAAAAAAAAAGGTTGATTGACTCGATTGGGTAGGCAAAAATGTAGTAATCAATGTAAATGATAAAAAAGAAAGAATAAAAAATGTCTACCCTTAATTTCATATGAAGTCAATGTCACAATCTATAAGCTAACTAGTATCCATCCACACATGAGATGAGGCGCAGCTAATTAGGAATATGAGCTTTCTTTACAAGAATTTTTTGGGATGGCTGGTCATCTTATCTAACTAAATCACTTTTAATGGAATTTTTGGAAACCCTAAATGACACTTTAAAGAAATGTAAGACCATGAAAAGCTAATTGATCGATGCTTTGTCGTGTATATATGCAATGGAAAAAACTATGGACTGTTGTTGAAAACTTTACAGATGCATCCATCTCAAATGGGTTGTTCACTCAATTCATAGAATGTTGTACCTATATGAATTTCTATAAGGGTTGCTCAGATTAATTCACAACGAAATTACATTTAATATTTGGCATTTTGAGGTGGTATACCAACAAGTGTGTGAATGTGTGTGTTGTCCTTTCAATTTGCTTTGTGCAGAACAGAATGTTTATGGGTGACCTCAGGTTATATATTTGCTACTGCTATGAATTTTGTAGCTATTATATTAGTTAAGGGTTAATCAAATTGCTGCGTGAGTACGGCATCAACATAAATATGGGTAACCTGTCGACCTTTCCATACATATTCATATATATGTATATATATATAGTGACGTATTTTTTCATGCAGATGGCTAGTCAAATACAAAAGTTGAAAGATTATATGTTTTGAATTTTAAAATTGATTTCTTAACTGATTGATATTCCATACCCCACGAAATCAAACACTTCTCTTCTCATATAAATAAGCTTAGAATAGCTTATCCATTAACATCAACATTAATCAAGTAAACAAGACATCACCAACGGTGGGTGTAAAATCGGTATCTATTCGTAGCAAGTGGATATACATTGTCTTTTCAATCAGAACCATCCGACCAGGTGGGAATATATGGATCAGCAACCAAAAACAATTCATATGATGTATGTACTGCAAGTTGAAGCAATTGTATGAATGATGGTACAAGTATTTACATGATTGGGCCTTTGCCAAGGAAGGCAGTCCTTAGATAAAAACAAATAAGCCCAACTGCCCAAGTAGAGGCCTAGAAGAGCATTACGAAGTGCTAATAGCTAGGTGTAACGGGTGGAACGCTTGTCCGTTTATCCAAAAACTCAAATTGTTGGGTAATGCTGTATACCTACCCATTTATACCCAATTACTTTCTCATCTGGATCCGATGTGGGATAAATGATTCTTATTACATTCTCTCCCACCCAGACGTACAATGCACCCGTTGCGGCTTAAACCACCCTACCTACCTACCTACCTGGGCTACAAACTCGGACGCCTTTTGGACCGGGCACTTAGTGTGACACCGGATCAAGAGTTGGGTCTGACTCTGATACCAACTGTAACGGGTGAATGCTTATTCATTTACTTAAAAACTCAAACTGTTGGGTAGTGTTGCATACCCACCCATTTATACCCAATCATTTTCCCATCCGGATTCGATGTAGGACAAAGACCCTTGTTACACTAGGGCATTTAGTGTCTTATTTATTTATTAACCTTGACAAGGAATTCTCACATAGACTTTGCCCCTTTAAGGACTTGAACCCTAAACTTCTATTTTGTAATTGCAACATTCCCTATCAACTAGCAAGGCAGTCTTGGAGGATGACAATCAATATAAAGGGACCGGTCAGATAGATAACGTGCTTCACAAAATCACTCGATCCACTTTTCCTTTGGAGATGGACTATTGAAAGGAGCGTTATTTCCTTGTATGCCCCAATTGCTAAGAGAGTGATGAGCTTTAAACCTAGAACTAATGTAGTTGGAATGGAGTTTTGCTTTGATAATTTATTTAGGACAATGTTTGGGAAGAAAATGAATTTTTGAAAATCTTTGAGTTATGCTCTTGCCAAATGTATTAGACACATGCCAATAGAACCAATTTGCAAATAGTGTCTGAAGTTCTTTAATGTCCATTAATTGATGAGATGACTTTGATGGGCAAAAAAAAAATTAAATTGCAATTCTGTTAGAAAAATTTTCAGATAGGACTAGAAAATTGACAAGGCAAGAATACATAGGTGGAAGTGACATTCTAGGTTGGAAAGGCATAAAGAACAGACATTTTGGTACGAAAGTGAGTTAGGCTCTTTTTGGCCTAGAGTGGACAATTTACTCTAAATAGTAATCTAAAAAATGAATTATTGTATGGGAGATTAGGAAGGAGTTTGACAATAAGTGGTATCATTGGAATTGAAGGGTCTAAAAAGGAAATAAAGGAAGCAGTGTATTTAAATGACTATTGTCGACATGGAACATGGGTCCAAAATCATCAAAGGAAGAGGGGTCGGGGGAGTAATATTGTTGAGTGTATCGATTAATTGGAGGTATGATGGGGATTGCCTAATTGGAATCTGAAATGAAGCTACTTAGCTGAGTATTGATTAGAGTACGCGAGCTTTGGATAGAGCTAGAATCTACTCAAGGAAACAAGGGGCCATTTACGAGTCAATTGCCTAACTAGAAGAACAATTTGATCCTTCTCCAACTCTGAGTTTGACAAAGGGGTTGGACAAACCTCTCAGTTAAAGAAACTTTCTCCATCTCCATGAGCACTGCTAAGGTACCTTTATTTCCCCAAAAGTTCTTCTTCAATTAAGTGAATTTTTTTTCTACTACACCATATATTGTTAAACAACAAGGCTCTTAGCAGTTCAAGTACAATAGCTTTGTTGGTCACTTTTACGTTTGGCAATCTTAACCGATATAGTACCATTATTTACGAATAAAACTCCAAGCTAATTTGGCCCATCTTATTGATATATGGATTTGAGCACAAAAATGATTTGAATATGAAGTTAATTTCAATGATCACATATTTAAGTAGGATGAATATGCATGTTTGATATGTTTGAGTTATGATTAAGACTGATTTCACTACCAAATGCCTTCTTGCATATGAGAGAGTTTTGTTTCTCTAAAGAGTGATTCTTTTTGTTATTTTATAAACCAACTGCCTAAAATTTATGGCCTTTAATCTAGATGAGGTATGTAGCACTCCCAAATACCTATTTGGTAGCAACCTTTACTAATAATTTGATGTGTAGAGATAGCAAAAATCTTGAATTTAGCACAAAGTTGTGTAAGAGGTTTCTGGCTGGGCCAGAAGACTAAGAATGTGATATAAGATAAGTTTTAGGGTTTTGATAGATTCCAAGATTTTATAGAAAATTAGTATTAGATCGATCATCTGTAAAACTTATGTGATTTATTCTTAATTTTTTTTCATCTCTAATGAAATCTAAGCATGGGATTGGATTAGGTGAATTTTTTGTGATAAAAGAGAAAATATGCATTGTTATGACAAATAAGAATGGGAAGATTAGGTCACCTTCTCTTATGCTCCTCACCCAACTAAAGTCTTGCAGTTATAAGCTTTGAAACTTGTAGAGATGAGAGGCACCCCAAGTGCCATATGGGGAGAACTCCACTATTAAATCTTAGCATGTTAAAAATGGCTTGTTGGGTTACAAAGTCCACTTCACAGGAAAATACGTAAATCTTACATTGGTTGACACGGACATATAAGTCATGTTA